TATTTTGCAAATACTTGTGAGATTTTGTTAGTAAAATAGATCGATACCGCGTCAATATATCAACATATAAAAATATGGCAAAATTTCGTGAATTTTCGGGGGATTTCGTAGCATAACGATGACATATAGCAATATTTCATTAGTAAAAGAGATTGATATGGTGTTTTTAAATGGCAATATATCAGCATATGAAGATATTGTGATATTTTAATGTATCAATATTTTTTCCCTCGTCTTTAGAAGTTTTTAAGTCTGTAAAAAAGAAGTTTTTGAGGAAGAAGAAGAAGTAGTATTTTTTTTTTTTTTAGACTTTAGAAACTCAGAAGCTGATCAAATATCGGGTTAAATATTGGTGGGGTGGCCGATGTCCGATATTCAGTTTTAAGGCCGATACAGGCTGATACCGATAGGGGGCCGATTATATCGTACATCCCTAATTTTTACACAAATATCTGTACTTTCTACTCCTTACATTTTAAAAAATTGTCTCGTTACTTTAGTTTTGAATCATTTCAATGGAGTTACCGTTATTATTTTTCACGTCATCAATACCAAATTCAATCTAATTGGATGGGAATCTACATTGCATTTGAGGCACCACTACAAGATGAATCGACAGATTCGGCGGTATTCATTCGCGGCAAATCATTGCAGCTTGGTGGTGGTGGCGTTAGCATAGTAGCATGGACGACGAGATGATTGAAAATGAACACAACGGAGATCTAGTCCTATTGGCAGACATCCATTTAAAATGTAGGCAACGGCATGAAAAAAGTGGTTTCTACTTTTACTTTTATACTTTAAGTAAATTTACAAGCCTGTACTTTGTTACTTTTACTTGAGTAAAGAAGTTTAATCAGTACTTCTACTTTTACCAGAGTATTTTTTAATACAAGTATCTGTACTTTTACTCAAGTACGGAAAGTGAGTACTTTTGCCATCTCTACCTATAAAGAAAAAGCATGTGCTTATACACAAGTGGAACAAATAAAATCATTGTATTTTCTTTTCTTTTTTATTTTTGTTAGGTTTGAAAAATAGTACCTCCATCTCATGATATATCAGAGTTACCGTGCATTCGCAAAAGTTCTTAAGCATCACAGATCCTCCACCATACTTTTACACAGAGCATTAGATGCTCTTCCACTCACAAATAGCAATGTGTTTAACCCTGTAATGCCAAATGTATCATATTTGATACATACTGTTTCTGAAATGTTTTGCGTCTGACACCTTTTGCATAATTTAATGGTAAAAACTTTGCTCAAAATCCTATTGTACACAATCAGATATACCTGATAACAGCCAGTAGAAGACTACACAAAAAATAATCTTGACTTATCGCATAGTAATAAATTATTAATATCAAAAATGTTTTTCTTTCTGAAAAGAAAACACGTTGGAGCCTTCGATGGCAGTGAAGAGAGCTCATCAGTTTCGTTTTAAAGTGGGGAAACGTAACGTTAGTTTCTCAGGTAGCTCATCTGATGCTTTCCTTACCTTGTTAGTAGGTTACAGACAGTGATAAGGTTGGCTACTTATTTTACTCTTAATTTCATTTGAATTAGCTTAAGCAGCGTTTATATTTACTTTATAAATAAATTAACTTTCAAATTATGAGGGCAAGGCTTTTAAAGTTTAAATCTTCTGGCAAAGATAAAGTAAAGAAGATCCTGCAATTTATGGAAGTAAAGCAGAATAAAATCCAGCAAGATCAGTAATATGTCAATTAATTATCTGCCACATTCCCATGTAAATATCTGTCTTTGGAGGATGTGTTTTTTAGCACCCCTAGTTCTCTCATTTTTATTCCAAATACAATTTATAATTTGAATCACAGGGCTATTTTTATCTCTATGGTTAAGTATTTTCTCAAGTAGCAACTTTAACTGCTATACTTTCCTGTCTTAAAAGGCAGAACTCTTCTAGTCTAAAAAAAACTAATTTGTTGAAATGGGGGGGGCCTATTGTTTGAACCCCTTAGGGGCTTTTAAAAACAAAAATGCCTGTCTTTTTTTGCGCTTTATGAAACAAAGTAGCCTATATTTTGTGGATGTACAGCTACATTTCTCATGTAAGTTTGCGTAGTTTTAACACAAACATTTATTTTCATATTGCACCAGTACAGTTAATGAGCACCCTGTACTTGTGTGCTTGTTTGTTCTGTCTAAAATGTTTATTTTGGAATAAAAAGGTTAATATAAAAAATATTTTTTGTCCGATTCATCGATTAATCGAAAAAATAATCGGCCGATTCATCGATTTTTAAAATAATCGTTAGTTGCAGCCCTAGTCATATTGATAAGTATCGACTACTGTTGAAGTTTGGACCAGGGTCTTTGAAAAGTTAAACTTACTCTAATCTTACCAAATCATGTAATCACAGAGAAAATTCCACTTATGTTAACTAACCTCCGCAAGTTTATGCTTGTGATGATCAGAGAAAAATCACAGTCGAATGAATAGTTGGGATGTTGACCACCAACTGGTTGTCACAGAAACTCTATAGTTATGCTGCCATACGCTTAAGATGCTGGTGGACACAGGGACAACTTTTCATAATTTTCCTTCATTGTATGTATGTTCTTGCATTCTATAGTATTTGTAAGCTCAGCCCCTAACCTACCATCAACACCTTTGACTGTACATAATATAGTTGGGCATGTCTTTCAGTGCTTAGTCCTGTTTCTCTCCCAGATGTAGGTATGAGCTTAGCTTATATTGTGACTAATTTGATGTATTCCTTAAATAGGAAACTTTTAACCTGTCTAACTGGATGGGTTAGGGTTATTCTGATTGAATTGTCTCTATAAAGGGCTTCGAGATGACTCGTTATTGAATTGTGACTCAAGGATATCTTTCTTCTGCAGCTCTCTAACCCTTAGCTGTAGAGTTTTTTTCTCTTCCTCACCATTATGATGTTTTTGCATGGCTATCCTTGTCGCCAGTGACTAACTAATAGGCCTCTGTGTCAGGTTATATTTATATCTCAGGGGAAAAGGAGTCAAGCATCAACAATAAGAAGTTTCTAGAGAGTCTAATCAACTTGAAATGTGTGAATGAATAAAAAGCTTGTTATTTCAAAGGGAGTTTTATATGCACCCATTATTGCACATGCAATCTAGTTAGAACAATTACTTCCTAAACCTTCCAAAATTATTTTTCCCAGTTTAAAAGAGTTGCTTGAAGTAAATGCAGAATTTTTCTGCTCTTCAAATTTCAACAACAGCAAAAAAGACTTCAGTTAAAGGACTTATTTTTCCTGCTGAAGGGATTCTTCACTTTTTGTCTGCAGGATAAAATGTGGAATTATTGAAATGATACATGGATGGGTGTTTTGAATGCAGTGGTTTTGTAGAACTTGTATATTACGTTGCCGTCAGGCTTAAAATGCTTAATCCATAATCCTCCAAGTGGCTGTTGGGTCAAAAGTGTGAAGTAAACAGGACTGGGCACAGTGTGTTAAATACCCTTAGGTAGAAAGGTGGCAGAAGGCCGTTACTGATGCTGGTCGCCTCTGACAGCTCAAGCTGTCAGCATCTTTTGTAATTATCTCCGATTATTCAGTAATTTTGGGAGAGAAAAGGCATGAAGTCAAGGGACTCCTGAGAAAGCTGATGTGGCAAACTCACCGGAAAAAAACTAAATGAATGAAAACAATGCAGATTCCCAAGATAGAAAAATTGAGAAATTTATTTATTTGCTTGTGGATGCCCGCTAAGTATTTTTTCCACTTGGATAAACTCCTGGCAGTGGTCACTGCAGGAAAAGTAGCATTCTGTTCTTTAACCGAACGCCACGAGACTATAAGAGCATAGCGAATATGTGTGGATTCAGACCGGCTTATTTGCTTGTGTGCAGTCTAAATGCTGACAGACGGAGGATATGAAGTGCACGCTTCAACGAGCTCCTAACAGCTGCATCGGAGCAGCGATACATAGGAATGCTTGTGAGGAATACTTAGACAAAGGTGGCAGAAGCTTCTGCTAATGCAGCTGCAGGAAGTCGAAGAAAGGATGCACAGCTCCGTGTGCTGTGAGGGGATTAACTCCTGCTCTGCTGCAGCAGAGGTCATTCACAGAGCCACCAAATGTCTTGAATCATCCAAATCCCAGGAATGAGTGGGGATTGTAGGACTGTTTGCACTTCGAATCCCTAATGATGGAAAGCAAAGGGCACGTTTTGAATCGCTCCACTACTTCTTCAGGTTTGCTCATCTGCTCGCCGCTAATTGATGCAGTTGTCAATACCTGTGGGGAATGTAAGGTTTAACTGCAAACACAACAGTGGTCAGATCAACAGAGGCACCAAAAGGTTAAGCATGGAGGGGTTATGGCAACCTCTATACATTTACTAGCATCCATGCTGGCTCCCTTTAGCTATAAATGACATGAAAACAAAAAAAAACACTTCCTGGAGATGTGTATTACTGATATCTTTGTTTGGCCTTCAGTTTATGCGCCCCTCTGAGCTTTATAACCACCTGGCTGTGTCTTTCAGAAAATTTTAAAAACAGACAGCCTATTGATGACTTATTAATTTACCTATTGATCTATTCTAATTGATATTCTACAGACAGAAATCTGTTTATGGCTAAGCTCCCTCCTCCTGTAAAAATCATTAAAATCTCGGAAGGCAACACTATATCCACTCTCTAACATCTTTATGATGAATTTAAGAAAAAAGACGACGACATTCATTAACTGGTAATATTTATTTGGTTTAATTAAATCGTTTTTGTTTATAAATTTATCTATTCTTCTAACAATAGCCTGATTTTGAATGCTCCTCACTCACCTGAGCCTAATTTCACACTGAATTAGGAAATTTTGGTAAAAACTGAGATTCTTTTTTAGGTTTCTATGTCCTCCCTTGTGATTATAATAAAGTGGCCCCCATTTGGACCCCTTAAAAAGAACTTTCTAGATGTGCCCCTGTCTTAATTAAGCTTAGGCATATAATTGGGCAAACTCCTTTGGATAATCGTGTAGAAATGTTACCTATAGATCTTGTATCGGGTGCTGAAGCCCTGCTGGTATCTCTCCAGAGCCTCCTGGAACTCCAGCGAGCGGTGGAAGGGTCCTTTATCCGACAGCAGCCACTCCAGGGAGCCGGGGGCGCCTTCGCCCTGCGCGGCCGCGCCGGAGGTCCAGCCGCAGCATAGCCACAGGCAGAGGACCAGCAGCCCCTTCCATAGCAGAGACAGCCGCTTATGACTGATCCTCTGACGGCTCATGCTTCACCCAGCGACACCTCATTCTCTTCGGACTGGAGGGAGGACGGATGGTGGGGCTGAAAAAGTCGCGCAGCGCGCAAATTGCGCAGGATTGTCAGGAGTCAGAAACAAATCCAGGGAATAAAAAAAAAAAGTGAGAAAATAATACCGGTTTATTTTTTGTTAGTTTATTGACACTCAAAATGCAAAGATGCGCCCCTCAGCTTCAGTGCGTCCAGATTCAGTGATCCGATTAAACCAAGAGAAACCAAACGCAGGCAATGATGTCTTTGAAGCGCCAACTCCAACTAGTTCCCCCCTCAATCTTCGTTAAGTTTAAATCGGCAGAAGAGCCTCCGGCGTCCCCGCTTCCCGTTGCTCCCCGGTGAGAAGTTGATGCTGAGCGGAGTTCATGCTGGGTCCGTCCCTGCGCTCAGAGACATCTCCAAGGGTGGGCTGCGAAGGGCATATTTCATCACTCGCATGTCTAAGAAACAGAAATGTGTGCGCAGGGAAAGGCTGCGGGCTCCTACCCCTACTGCTCCCCTTCACAGAGTGAATGATCTCTCTGGCTTCGACAAAGAGAGCTTTTCTTCCTTGTGAGACAGCGAGAGGGCGAGCCGGCGCATCACGATGAGGGCAACACAGACGCTGAGAAAGATCATTGGCTGCGCTCAAGTTTTTAGAAGAGGGAGATGATGATAGTGATGGTCAGAAAAATACTCCATGGGTCAATAAACTGACCTCTATTAAGGTCCCTTCTCTTAATAAATCATTGAACGACTCATTTATTTTAGCTGTCAAAAAAACACGTAATGAATGAACAACATTTTGACCACATAAAATGAGGTTCTAGATTGAATTATTTGTCATCTTTATTGTTATATATACAAGCAAGCATATGGAGTGAATTTGTTTCCATAATTTTTCCAACGAAAACATGTTGTAAATGGAAACAAAAAACACATTTTGTTTATAAATTGAAATAGGTTAATAAAAATTCAACTCAGGAATTAATCTTAAAGGTATTCTGGAGGATTTCTGCGTCAGGACTCCTGTTTTGTGTTTGTGTTTCAGTATTCGAGTATTCAGCACTTCGACGTCGGAGTACACAGAGTGAAGCGAAAAGACTACAACTAAGCGTAAACAGGCCCCATTTCCGTTTCCGGTGGCGGAGGGATATTGACTATTCCAACAGAACTCAATGGGATTTACAAAATGCTAAATAAAACACTACAGGAACGTTTTTTCTTTACGAAACTTTTTTTGGAACGTCATTGAACAGCGCTGACGACCCGGTGAGTAGCATATTTTAAAAAAAGAATGTTTAAGGTTGTTTTAAGGACATCATCGGACATGCACTATGGAAGCCATTCTGAAGCAGCCAGGGGGGGATTCTGCATGAGCCAAAAAGCAGAGACAGGACCAATTGTCAAAATTTTGGTGTCGATCATTCGATTTCATCCTGGACACTACAGAAAATGGGCTAAAAGTGTTAAAAACCGTAATTTTCCTTTAATCCACCAGGAGGCGCCTGGTTCTGTTCCGCCTCCTCACACACCTGCGGATGGTTTCCTCGTTAAACGGAGTGTTCTTAAGCTGCTGACTGCCACTACTTCGACGCCAGTTTAGGGTATCTAGCCAAGCTGAGTTTGCTGAGTTAAGCTGAGTTTTTGGTCAACCTGAGTTTAACTTTGTTTTGTCTTTGCCTCTTGGCAGGAAGTTGTCCTGCTAACTGGATTTCTCAGACCTTCTCTCCCTGGAAGGATAAACTGAGCTTCAAACTGAGCTGGGGGTTTAAACAGGAGGTTTGGATCCACTTTCCCCAAGAGATCGTTTGAGTTTCGTACTGAGAAAGGGATTATTCTCCACAATTAACCGTTCAAGTCCCGCAGGAAATCTGAGTGGCAGTCAGTATCTCTGTTCTCCAACAATCAACCGCATTATGGGTAAAACCTGTTCCGCCCTCCACCGAATCAGACAGACACTGGAACACACAGACAGGAGTCAAGGACACAACAACTTCACTGGAAACGTGAGTCGGCAACCAAAACCTCTTCTCCAAGTTTCACGAGTCAAATTCCCCCACTGCGTCTGAACTAACCGCTGTGTCTTCCCCTCACTTTGCAGTTCTGGTTGAGCAGTGTTCAGAGCAACACTTCTCCCCCAGTTTACTTATTCAATGAAACCTGTTAAACCTTTTACCTGGTCTCTCTGTTTGGTTTTCTGCATTTTTGGGTCAGAACTTTGAAACATCATTACAATCTGCCCTCTCCACCAATGGCGTAACGACACAATGATAGGCCTGTAAGCAAAATTATCTGGATGAGCCCCATATGAAGTACAACACGTCATAAAGGTTCAGGATACGCCGACAGTTCCATAAATCGGCCAAGAAGATATAATTATGCAATCTCAGTAGTATCTGATCACACACGGAAAAATAGTGACTGCGCACCTTGAATGGAACCATTGGTGCAGCGCACCACCACATGTTACAGACATCCCAATATCCAAAAACTCATTTATCCCAACCTCCGCCCCGTAGATGTCCACCTCTCCCTCTTTGATTATTTGAAAGAACGTGTTTTATTTTGGCAAGTTTTTTCCGATCTTCCAGCAGCTCTTATTTCGTTTTTCTTTTCTGGAATCCGCTTAAGTACCTCTTTTTTATATCCATCGCCGCTAACGCATTGTACGTAACGGTTATGGTTTGAATCTACGCTCTGGGTTACCCATAATTCCAAGTCGTAGAGTGAAAAATAAAATACTCAAATATATTGTTCTTTTAAGATCTTTATTGCAGTTTAAAAGATTTTATCAGTGTATTTTTTAACAACCATCTAATGAACTATACACAATTATTAACATAGTAATTAAAAGTAGCACTGCTTTGCAATTGGTGTCGTTTTTAAACAGCTCACCATCATGTTGAAATCTGCCATGTGTTGCGATATAAATATGGTCTGCTGCGGACAGTCACTTCAGTAGCAGGTGGGCTTAAGAGGAATTTCTCGCACATTTATTTTTGCAAAGAGAAGTCCAAGACTAAAATTGCGTAGGAGGCCCACCAGGTGTCAGTGATGGGACCCCTAAGGGGTTGTGGGCCCGTAAGCAACTGCTGTCTCTGTTTACCGATATTTACGCCAGTGCTCATCACTTTAAAAAGAAAAAGCACATGCACAACCATGTACCCGCTCCCGAGAGGGAACGCCTATTAAACGTGTGTGAGAGAATGCACAAGACAATTTTTCATCGTGTACGCTGTTTAAAAGTTGCTGTTGACATAGCTCATTCAAGCTTACTGTGTCTGAACGTCCGCCCTAACCCCTAAATCCCTCCATCACCATATAGAGCGGGGACTATATAGTGAACTCAGTTAACTTACCATTTGGACACATGATCACTACTTTTTGCTCCCCATTAGTTGCTGCTGTCAGGTAGCAGCAGCCTAGGAGACAGCGGGCCACTGTGACAACAAAACCCATGATGCTTTGCAAGTTGAGCTCTCTGCGCAAAGCATTCTGCAATATATCTGCCTCTTCTGAGACCTTATTTTCTTCTCATTCACTTCGTAGATACTTTTTCTCTTACGACCCTAGGACATTTTCAAAGAGCCGCGGTGAGAAAGGTGAGCTACAACGACTGGCTGAAACCGTAGATCACTACAGATATGTGGCTGGAAGTGCGCATGCGCCGAAAAAGCTAAGGATGAACATGTTGGACACCCATACGTAAACATATAACCAGAAGGATTGACAATTAGGAGGACCACTTATTTAGATGATTCATCCGGAAATAAAAGATCATCCTCTATAACTTTGAAAAACATTTGTTTGGATCAAAAAAAAGGTTTTGAGGGAAATTTAGCTGTTACTTAGATTTTGCTTTTTCACTTTTTAAAATAAGATTTTCATATATCATTTTTTTTTTTTTTGCAGATTTTATATTTTTGAAACTTTTCATAAAATGTCTGTTTTATTAATTATTTTTAAATTGTTCTTTATTTTTAAATTGAGATTACATTCTCTTCACTTGAAGCCCAATCCAAAAGCTTACTCTTGACCAGTAAAAATGTTAATGCTGACATCCATAGAGACCAGTAGAAATGTGTCTTCACTCCTCACTGCAGAGGAAATACCGCCCCGAGAAAAGAAGAGAATGGATGTGGTCTGTTTCAGAGGCTGCAACCTCCAAGGACCCGGTCTACCTGGTCTGGGCCCAGGTCTGTGAAAATAAGGAGGCCAGAAGAGTTTGGCTGTGGATTAAAAACAGGTCCAGCCTTCCCCGACTTTCACATGCCCCCCTCCCCTATGCTCTGTTACCTAGCAACAGTGACAGTTGAAACAGGAAGCAGAAAAAGAATGGATACCTAACTTCTCACTACTGTTTTGGGTGCTATTCAAAATCATAGGGAAGCCATATTTAAATTTCATTCTTGCTTAAACATGTATATAAATGTGGTTTAAAACCTACTTTTCTAATTTCTTTTACGGTGATGCCAAAACTGCCTCTAGAACCCCTAGTTTGCTCATTTTATTGTGGCAGAACCAAACTAGTTTGCATATCTAAACATTTGTGCTGAAATCTTTATAAAATGCCCGCAACACTCCCAATTATTGCACATTCAAAATCCAGATGTGCGATTTAGTGCATCTTATTTGGATTCTTCAAAGATCAGGCCGTTGATGTTTTACAAATATGCTGATCTACATTTCCATTACAATTTGGTATTTGCCCTTGGCGTTAAATATACCAAGACATGCCGTAATGAGAAAGCCATGTCTATCTTAATGGTTAGCAAACCTTATCTGAGAGACAATCTGTAAATTACTGTCTAGAGAAAGATAAGGTCCCCCATCCCCCCCCGGCTGCTATTCATGCAGCTAGGGATTCCTGAACACCTTAGCAGACTAACAGACTGTTTTCCTGCATGCAGATGTATAAATATACATGTATGCACCAGTGCCCTGCAAAATCAAACCACAGCATTTTTCAAAGTCAGTCAATGGTTTTCAAATTGGTGTCATATTAGCAGGGGAGGATATAAAGTTAAATATACTCAGTTACATTTGCTTGAGCAATAATTTACTTTTAGGGTCATTGTCCACTGCACTACTGTTTACTTTTATGTAATATAATCATTTGGTATTGCTACTTTTAATTGAGTAAAATTTCCGCTATTTTACTCACTGAGTAACTTTACTAATTAAGGAACAGGAACATTTTAATCTAAAATGTAGCAGACAAATAATAGCAGCTATTAAAAAAAATGAATATTATATTTTTTCTTTGTAATAATTGTCATGATTTTACTAAAGTTCAGACCAAACAGGGAGACCAGCAGAAAAGGTTTAACAGGTTGTATTGAAGCGATAATGCAGAGAGAAGTGTTGCTCTGAACACTGCTCAACAGGAACTGAAAAGTGAGGGGAAGACACAGCAATTAGTTCAGGCTCAGTGGGAAATTTGATTCGTGAACTTGGAGAAGAGGATCTGGTTGCTGACTCACGTTTCCAGAGAAGTTGTTGAATCTTTGACTCTAGCCTGTATGCTGTTGTTCTCATGTTTGTCTGATTCGGTGGAGGGCGGACAGGGTTACCCCGAATGCGGTGGTTTGTAGGTG